ACGACGGCGACGACGACGACGACGGCGGCGACGACGACGACGACGACGACGGCGACGACGACGACGACGACGTCGACGTCGACGACGACGACGACGACGACGACGACGACGACGACGACGACGACGACGACGATTGGCGGCGGCTCGCCGACCTCGCGGCCGCCCGAGGCGGACGGCGCGGCCGTGTGCCGCTGCGGCACGCCCGCCCGGCGCAGCCACGCGCCGGCATCCTCAGCGACGACCGCCACGACGCCTGCGGGCCGCCCGGAAGGAGCGCGGCGGGCTCACGAAGCCATGACTGAGGGGCAGCGGTGGGGGAAGGGGGAGGGGGAAAGGGGGAAGGGGGAAGGGGAAGGGGTAAGCTAGGTGCGCTCGCGACATATCTGACGTCCTAGTTACCCCTCCCTCCCATCATTTACCATGGCGTAGATCTCCTCTCTGTTCACACAATCGGATGTCGCAGCATGGCATAGCATTACATGGCATAGCATGACATGGCATAGTATGGTGTTAAGATCAACGCGTAGCATGCCATAGCATGGCGTGGCGACGCCCCGAAATGGGGAGCTTCTGCGGCCCAAAAAATCAACGAACCGACACCGCATGTGTAATCACTTCTGATGGTTCTCCCGAAAAACCATTTTCTAGACTTGGGGGCCTACTTGGAAGGACCGAAAACCATGCCGTGGCATGGCGCTGGAAACAATAACGCCAGCGCTGCAGCGGGAGCACGATTCGGAACGAGCGGAAGCGCGGAAATGAGGCCATCGCTGCAGCGGGAGCACGATCCGGAACGAGCGGTAGCCCGAAAATGAGGTCAGCGCTTCAGCGAGAGCATCATTTTGAAAATGATCCTGGTGGACCCAACCATGCGCAGTTGAGAGTATCGCAATTGTGGGCATCGTCCTCGGTGAACCTCTCTGGGGCCACGACGCGTGCGACGGGTGTGCCAAAATTGGCACGGGTACGCCAGGTGGAGCCCCATGTGAGGCCACGAAGCGTGTGAGGGGTGTACCGAGATGCAGGGTGGAACCGCATGCGGACCCTGCCACTGGGGCCTTCGGCGGAGCACCCTATGGGGCCACGAAACGTGTGAGGGGTGCACCGAAAAGAAAGGTGGAACTGCACGCGGACCCTGCCATTGGGGCCTCCGGTGGAGGTCCCTATGGTGCCAAGAAACGTGTGAGGGGTGCGTCGACATGGAGGTGAAACCGTATGCGGACCCTTCCACTGAAGCCTTGGGTGGAGCCCCCTATGGGGCCACCGAACGGGAAAGGGGTGCGCCGAAATGATGGTGGAACTGCATGCGGACAATGCCACTGGGGCTTCGGTGGAGCACCCCAAGGGGCCACAAAACGTGGGAGGGGGGCGCCGAAACAGAGGTGGAACTGCATGCGGACCCTGCCACTGGGGCCTTCGGTGGAGCACCCTATTGGGCACCGGAACGTGTGAGGGGTGCGCAGAACAGGAGGTCGAACTGCATGCGGAACCTGCCACTGGGAGCTTCGGAGCACCCCAAGGGGCCACGAAACGTGGGAGGGGTGCGCCGAAACGGGGGTGGAACTGCATGCGGACCCTGCCACTGGGGCCGTCGGTGGAGCACCCTATGGGGCCACGAAACGTGTGAGGGGTGCGCCGAAGTGGGTGTGGAACTGCATGCGGACCCTGCCACTGGGGCCTTCGGTGGAGCACCCGATAAGGCCACGAACCGTGTGAGGAGTGCGCCGAAATGACGGTGGAACCGCAGGCGGACCCTGCCACTGGGGCCTTCGGCGGAGCAGCCTATGAGGCCACGAAACGTGTGAGGAGTGCACCGAAAAGAAAGGTGGAACTGCATGCGGACCCTGCCATTGGGGCCTTCGGTGGAGGTCCCTATGGTGCCACGAAACGTGTGAGGAGTGGGTCGAAATGGAAATGAGACTGCATGCGGACCCTGCCACTGGGGCCTTCGGCGGAGAACCTTGTGGGGCCACGAAACATGTGAGGGGTGCGCCGAACAGGGGGTAGAACTGCATGCGGAACCTGCCACTGGGGCCTTGAGTGAAACACCCTATGGGGCCACGAAGCGTGTGAGGGGTGCGCCGAAGTGGAGGTGGAACTGCACGCGGACCCTGCCATTGGGGCCTTCGGTGAAGGTCCCTATGGGACCACGAAACGTGTGAGGGGTGCGCCAAAATGGAGGTGGAACTGCATGCGGACCCTGCCACTGGGACCCCTGCCACTGCGGCCTTCGGTAGCGCTCCCTATGGGACCACGAAACGTGGGAGGGGTGCGACGAAACGGAGGTGGAACTGCATGCTGACCCTGCCTCCGGAGCCTTCGGCGGAGCGCCCTATGAGGCCACGAAACGTGTGAGAGCGGCACCGAAATGACGGTGGAAGTGCATGCGGAACCTGCCACAGGGACCTTCGGTGGAGCTCCCTATGAGACCACGAAACGTGTGAGGGGTGCGCCGACATGAAAGGTGGAACTGCATGCGAACCCTGCCACTGGGGCACTGGGTGGAGCACCCCAAGGGGCCACGAAACGTGTGAGGGGTGCGCCGAAATGGAGGTGGAACTGCATGCGGACCCTGCCACTGGGACCTTCGGTGGAGCTCCATATGGGGCCACTAAGCGTGTGAGGGGTGCGCCGAAGTGGGCATGCGAGAGAGCAGAGGCAGGGAGGGGAGGGGGAGGAGGGGGAGGAGGAGGAGTGAGTAAGGAGACGCGGGGCGCTGTCTCTTAATTAGCCTGGCGAGAAACCCAACCATATGCAGTTGTGCATGCCGCAATTGTGCTGGGTGGTGGCGGACGCATGCGGGCGGTGCCACTGGGACCTTCGGTGGAGCTCCCTATGGGGCCACGAAACGCTGTACTGGGTGGGCGAGACGCGGTCAGCAAGGGCTGTGCTGCGTGGTGGCGGACGCATGCGAGCGGTGCCACTGGGACCTTCGGTGGAGCTCCCTATGGGGCCACGAAACGCTGTACTGGGTGGGTGAAACGCAGGCAGGGAGCAAGGGCTGTGCAGGGTGGTGGCGGACGCATGCGGGCGGTGCCGCTGGGACCTTTGGTGGAGCTCCCTATAGGGCTACGAAGCGCTGTTCTGGGTGGGTGAAGCGCAGGGAACAAGGGCTGTGCTGGGTGGTGGCGGACGCAAGCGGGCAGTGCCACTGGGACCTTTGGTGGAGCCCCCTATGGGGCCACGAAACGTGCGAGGGGTGTGCCAAAATGGGGTGTGGAACCGCATGCCAGCGCAGCCACTGGGGCCTTCGGTGGAGCTCCCTATGGAGCCACGAAACGTGTGAGGGGTGTGCCGAAATGGGGGGGTGGAACCGCATGCGAGCGCAGCCACTGCGGCGTTCGGTGGAGCTCCCTATGGGGCCACGAGACGTGTGAAGGGCGTGCCGAAAAAGGGGGTGGAACCGCATGCGAGCGCAGCCACTGGGGCCTTCGGTGGAGCTCCCTATGGGGCCACGAACCGTGTGAGGGGTGTGCCGAAATGGGGGGGGGAACCACATGCGAGCGCAGCCACTGGGGCGTTCGGTGGAGCTCCCCATGGAGCCACCCACGAAGCGTGCGAGGGGTGTGCCAGAATGGGGTGTGGAACCGCATGCCAGCGCAGCCACTGGGGCCTTCGGTGGAGCTCCCTATGGGGCCACGAAACGTGTCAGGGGTGTGCCAGAATGGGGAGTGGAACCGCATGCGAGCGCAGCCACTGGGGCCTTCGGTGGAGCTCCCTATGGGGCCACGAAACGTGTGAGGGGTGTGCCAGAATGGGGGGTGGAACCGCATGGGGCCTTCGGTGGAGCTCCCCATGGGGCCACGAAACGTGGGAGGGGTGTGCCAGAATGGGGGGTGGAACCGCATGCGGCGCAGCCACTGGGGCCTTCGGTGGAGCTCCCTATGGGGCCACGAAACGTGTGAGGGGTGTGCCACGAAACGTGCGGAGCCACTGGGGCCTTCGGTGGAGGGGGCCACGAAGCGTGTGAGGGGTGTGCCAGAATGGGGGGTGGAACCGCATGCGGGCGCAGCCACTGGGGCCTTCGGTGGAGCTCCCTATGGGGCCACGAAACGTGTGAGGGGTGTGCCAGAATGGGGGGTGGAACCGCATGCGGGCGCAGCCACTGGGGCCTTCGGTGGAGCTCCCTATGGGGCCACGAAACGTGTGAGGGGTGTGCCAGAATGGGGGGTGGAACCGCATGCGGGCGCAGCCACTGGGGCCTTCGGTGGAGCTCCCTATGGGGCCACGAAACGTGTGAGGGGTGTGCCAGAATGGGGGGTGGAACCGCATGCGGGCGCAGCCACTGGGGCCTTCGGTGGAGCTCCCTATGGGGCCACGAAACGTGTGAGGGGTGTGCCAGAATGGGGGGTGGAACCGCATGCGGGCGCAGCCACTGGGGCCTTCGGTGGAGCTCCCTATGGGGCCACGAAACGTGTGAGGGGTGTGCCAGAATGGGGGGTGGAACCGCATGCGGGCGCAGCCACTGGGGCCTTCGGTGGAGCTCCCTATGGGGCCACGAAACGTGTGAGGGGTGTGCCAGAATGGGGGGTGGAACCGCATGCGGGCGCAGCCACTGGGGCCTTCGGTGGAGCTCCCTATGGGGCCACGAAACGTGTGAGGGGTGTGCCAGAATGGGGGGTGGAACCGCATGCGGGCGCAGCCACTGGGGCCTTCGGTGGAGCTCCCTATGGGGCCACGAAACGTGTGAGGGGTGTGCCAGAATGGGGGGTGGAACCGCATGCGGGCGCAGCCACTGGGGCCTTCGGTGGAGCTCCCTATGGGGCCACGAAACGTGTGAGGGGTGTGCCAGAATGGGTGTGGGAGGGGGAGGAGGGGGGAGGAAGGGGAGGAGGAGGAAGGAGGAGGAAGGAGGAACGCGGGGCGACGTCTCTTCAAAACGAGGACCCAACACCACAGGATGGTTGGGAAAAACGAGGACCCAACACCACAGAATGGTTGGAAAAAACCAAGCGCGGAAGCGCGGAAATGAGGACGCGCAGCCTGACATAGCACGACGTGGCGACGCCCCAAAGTGGGGGGCTTCTGCGGCCCAAAAAATCAACGAATCGACACGTGTAATCACTTCCGATGTGTATTCGGGGGCCTACTTGGAAGGACCGAAGCACGATTCGGAACGGGCGGAAGCGCGGAAATGAAGCCAGCGCTGCAGCGGGAGCACGATTCGGAACGGCAGTACCCCGAAAATGGGGCCAGCGCCTCAGCGAGAGCAGCATTCGTAGGGGAGAGACAAAACAGCGGAAAAATGGACGCGGAGGGGGGCCGAATGTTCCCCAGCCGCCACCAGGGGAGAGAGGAGAATAGCATTCATATTGTGAAATTGCGAAGGGGGGAGGGGGAAGGGGGAAGGGGGAGGAGGAAGGGGGAAGGGGGGAGGGGGGAAGGGGGAAGGGGGAGGGGCAAGCTAGGTGCGCTCACGTCATATCTGACGTCTGAAAACGACGACGCCCCAAGGGGTCACTTCCAATAGTTTTTCCAGGGTGCATTTTCTAGATTTGGGGGCCTATTTGGAAGGAAGACCAGCGCTGCAGCGGGAGCACGATTCGGAACGAGCGGAAGCGCGGAAATGAGGCCGGGGCTGCAGCGGAAGCACGATTCGGAACGAGCGGAAGCCCGAACATGAGACCAGCGCTTCAGCAGTAGTTTGAACAAAAAACACAAGAGATAACCTATTTTCCGGGAATCCTGTGTAGAAAAATACGCGGAGGGGGGCCGGATATCTTCCGGACGTCACCAGGGGAGAGAGGAGAATAGTATTCAGATTGTGTAAGTGTGAACGGGAGGGCAGCATTGGGGAGGGGGAAGGAGTAGGGGGGAGAAAGATGGAGCTGGGATCGGCGATGCGTCGCCGATAGGTCGGCGATGGCCCCTTATTGCGAACTCGCACGTTCCTGGGCGGGTCGGGCTATGGGACTCCTCTCGGCGATGAATGGGCGATTGGGCGTCGATGCACCCCACCCTGAGCCGATCCCCCCTAGCATTGCCCATGAATGATGTGTGCGTCGGGCTCACGCCGCGATGACGTTGGCGTCGGTGACATGGGTCACCTGACTTCACGCATCGCGCCCCGCGATGCGCGGCGCGCGATTATCTTCGCCCCAGTGCCGCCCCCTTGGAGAAAAGCAGCCCCTCTGGCCGAGGCTGCGACCCGCGAAGCGCAGTTGTCTTCTCGCTCGCGAAGGTGATCTTGGTTTCTGACGCCGCGTGGACCGTTCAAGTTTGAATGATCGCGGCCTCCCGATGCCGCAGATCGACAGATGTCGGTAGATTCGAGGCAACTGGCGGCGTTCAACCTTGAACCCCCGCGCATGGGTCGGCGCCGCGTCGACGAGGCGCAACCGTAGGCACAAGCACGAAGAAAGAAGGCGGTGAAAGTAGATTGGATTCTGGCGCGACCCTGAAGGAGGATAGCATACAGAAGAAGCTTCGATTGGCAGAGCAGGAAGAACTGGGGCACGGGAGTCCCGAAATGCCGTCATGTATAAGCGCAGGCTGCCGGGTCGGGCAGCGAGCGTGCGAGTGCGGCTGCCTAACTCCCACCAGCTGGTTTTTTTCCCTAGAAGCCCCAACAGCGAACAAGGAACGACCCAGAATCTTCCCAGCACGAAGATGAAAGGGCCCTGGGACACACAAACAAATAGACACAAATAACAGGATTCTCCACATTTTCCCATATTTTCTGGGTTTTCGTCTTCCCCACCACTTCCCATATTTTCCCACATTTTCCAGGGAGTCGACGATCACTTGTGTGTGTGTGTTTTTTCCCCTCCTGAGAAGAAAGGGAACTGAGAATCAAACAAAAACTTACAAACAAACAGCGACCTGTGCCGACGCCTCTGCCGCCGCTATCACCATCGCCGCCGCCTCCGCCGCCCGTCGTCATCCCAGGTGGTCGTTCTCGTCGATGTGGCCGCCGCCGCCGCCATTGCCGCCTGCATCGCCCCCTGGATCGAGGATCCAGGATCGAGGGTCGAGGCTCGAGGATCGAGGATCGAGGGTCAAGTTGTCGTCGTCTTCGACGATGTAGCCGCCGCCGCCGCCATTGCCGCCTGCATCGCCCCCTGGATCGAGGATCGAGGCTCGAGGCTCGAGGATTGAGGTTTTTGGTTTGGCTCCTACAGGTCCCCGAGGGGCCCCCAAAGGCCTACAGGGACCTCAGGGGACCTGCGGGACCTCCGCGGACGTCTGCGGATCCCTGTTGACCTCTCGCGGTCGTCGTCGCTGTCGTCGCGGTCATCTCCCTCGTCATAGTCATCGTCTTCGCCGCCGCCGTCATCCACGCGACACGTGCGTCCTAGCCGCGACACCCGCGGATGCAACCGTCACGCGCCCAATAGCGCAGCAGCTCCGCCGGCCATGCGCGAGGCAACTAACACAGAGGTGGCGGCGACGCGGCCTCCCGAGGCCATGCGCCGCCCAGCTCCCGCAGGCGCTCAATCTTCGGAGGAAGAGAGGGAGGAGGCAAGGGAGGGGGACCGGTCAAATGTGTGTAGAAGACGAAAGGCATGCACATGACTGCATCGGCACAGGCCAGCGCGACTCTTATTCGGACTAAGGGACGGGCCGGCACAGATACGCGGGACTGGTCAGGTGGTGATGTTCACCTCGCCGCCGTCGCCGCCACCGCCATCATCGTCGCCTCCACGTCGTTGTCTTCGCCGATACCGCCGCTGTCGTCGTTGCTGCCGTCATCGTCGTCGCCGTCGCCGCCGCCGTCGGAGGTCTGAGGATCGAGGCTCAGGCTTTGGGACGTTTTGGCCCTGGCCCTTCCTCCGGAGGCCTCCAGAGGGCCTGCAGGCCGTTCGGAAGAAGCAGGTGGAAGCATGATGGCATAAAACAGGAAGGCGGTCAGATTGGATCCTGGCCCGCCCACCAACAAGGTCAGTCTCAATCCCAGTCGTCTCATTGTTAAAATCAGAACCACGATTACGGTTACAACCACCCTGGCCATTGGTGTTGGCATTTTCCCCACCAACACACAGCCTACACTGACCCGGTCCTGGAGGAAATTGCAAGAGTTGGCGCAATTGCTGGGCCGATTTCAATAGGCGGCCAGGTTCCCAGGTTCCCAGTCGGGCTCTGGCGACATTGCAAGCCCGCTTTCGGTAGGCGGCCCGGTTCCCTGTTCCTACTTCCCGGTTCTGGGTCGACTTCAGCGGGCGGCGGGGTTCCCAGATTGCCAGCCTTGGCAACCTGGCGACGACGACGACGACGACGACGACGACGACAACGACCACGACGACGAGGACGACCACGACGACGACCAAGACGACGAGGATGAGGACGAGGACGAGGGCGGCAACCACGGCAGCGACGGCGACAAAGACGACGGCAACCGTGGCAGCGGCGACGGCGACGATGACGATGCCCCCGAGGGCCTCGAGGTGGCTCGCCCGACGCGCAGACCGCGTGGACCTGGAGGCAGCCGGGCTGCCTGGGCCGGGCCGCTGGCGGCTCGCGTTCGGGAGCAGAGGAACTAGAGGAGGAGGAGGAGGAAAAGGAGGAGGACGACGAGGACGACGAGGACGACGAGGACGACGAGGACGACGAGGACGACGAGGACGACGAGGACGACGAGGACGACGAGGACGACGAGGACGGCGAGGACGGCGAGGACGACGAGGACGAGGACGAGGACGAGGACGAGGGCGAGCACGAGGACGAAGAAGGGAGACGAACTCCCCCCGGATCGACTTCGAGGGTCGAGATTCGCGGCGAGGTCTCGGGTGCTTTCTTATTTGTCGCCCATTGGGTGCCTCCTCGAGCGCTCTCGTGGCTACGGCTGAGTTCCCCTTGGAGTTCTGGCCTGAACGCGCCCCAGGACAGGTCCAGAGGTCGAGTTTTTTGAAAGGGGGGCCCTCAGATCCGCGCCCCAGGACGGGTCCAGGGGTCGATTTGTTACAATCGGTTTTGCTATGTTTGCGACCTCCAGTGGCTGGCCTCAGCCTCAGGACCTACAAAAACTGGCTCAGGATTAAAACTCGACCCTGGGGACGGGGTCGAGATCCCCAGGGGGCCACGTCACAGACAGATTGTGACGTCGAAGGAAGAGAGGGTCCTCATCCTGCCGCCCCATGACAGCACGCATGATCGAGGGGAATGGTGCAGTTCCCACTGCTTCCGAGGCCGGCGCGCGTCGGCCGCACGCGGGCTGGGTCTGTTGGCCAGGAGAGGCGGAGGGAAGTTCTTGGGTCGAAAATCGAATGGTGGGAATCAACGTTCCAGGACGTTTTGAAACCTTGCTGGACCTCCGGGGGGCTCCTCGGCGCCAGCTGGAACCGCCTCGACACTTCCCAGGAGAGGTCGGGGGGTTCGAGGATGGGGGGTCAATTTGAAACTGCTCTGATACTGCAGCAAGTTCACTTGCATGGCATTCCCCATCCCCCTCTTCCGCCGCCCTTTCAAGCAGCGCTGGGCCGAAACGGCGTGCAGGTGAGCCGTGGCTTGAGCGAAGTCCAGATGTCACCCAGGGCATCGCCACGTCCCACCCCCCTCAACGCAAGCAGACCTGCCAGAGTCTAAGCAAAAACAGCCAGCTTGGAAGGCCCTCCACGAAGCTTCTGGCGGCGCGGCGCGACCAAATCGCGCCCGAATTGTATTGCTCCGCTCGGCCTCGGGGGGCCAGAGCGGCCCGTGGACCGTCGATCACGATTCAGCATCGAAACTTGAGTTGGGGAAGGCGTCGAGCGAGCTGGAGGCCCACTTTTATATATATATATATATATATATATATATATAAAAAAAAAAAAAAAAAAAAAAAAAAAAAAAAAAAAAAAAAAAAAAAAAAAAAAAAAAAAAAAAAAAAAAAAAAAAAAAAAAAAAAAAAAAACTCCAATTATGTCAGAAGACTCAAATGAAATCAAGTGGACTGGGATGGACTGAGATAGGCTGGGCTGAAAAAACTGGACTGGACTGAAGTGGACGTTACTCTATTCGACTCTACGATCTACCCTACCCTATGATGCGCGAATATAGTCTTCGATCTACCCTATCATACTCGACTCTACTCGACTTTATCATACTCGACGCTGCTCCGCTCTACTCTACACTTCTCTAGTGTACCCTAGCCTACCCTACTTCAGTCTATTATACTTTATTGTACTCTACTCCTACTCTACAATACTCTACTCTAGCCTATCGACACTTACGCGCGCCTAGTCTAATCCTGTAGCATTCCACTCTAGCAGACTCCGCTAGTCTACGCTGCTCTACCCTACTGTACGCTATTCCACCCAGCTCTACTCTACCACCCACTATCTACCCTACTCTACTCTATTCTGCTGTGCACGATCCTACCCTAGCCTACCCGATTCAACTTTACTCTACTCGACTCTGCTCTGCTCTGCTCTGCTCTGCTCATCTACTCATCTACCCTGGTCCAATCTTCTCGCACGACGATTGTTGGACGATTGGTGAGGCGCCAGTGGAATAGCCACAGAACGTTTTTGTAATGGCAACGGACGCCAGTGCAACAGCAGAGAAAGCCATTGCGACCGCTTTGGGCGGAAACATGAGAGAAGGAGGGAGCGGTTGCAACCATTTAGGGCAACGTAGGTGGGCAATGGACCAGTTCTAGACGCATGGGATCTAGGACTCCTCAAGGCAAGCTTATGGTGATAGCTACTTTGAAATCTAGAAGACCTCCTTCTCCTCGAGGCCGTGGGATTGTGGCGGCCCTCGCTGTCTCGAGCGTTTAAAAACATGTGTTCGTGATGTGTGCTCGTTCTCTTCATCGTGATATGTTTATTTTCTTCTTCTCCGTCTCTCTCTCTCTCTCTCTCTCTCACTATTCGCCAGCCTTTTCACACAAAATCCCCCCGAACATGGCCCTCGGAACTCCGGCCCTGTGCCAAACGGCATGGGGCTGGAATGTGGCCAGAGAAGCGTTTACAAGTTTTCAGCCTTGTCTTCATCATTATCCGTATATTTCCTCTCTCGTCTTCTCCCTTTGCTTCTCTCTCCTCTCTCTCTCTCACACACATACACAGTATGTGCATCCCCTTCCTTGAGCATCACCAACGAACCCCTCTGGAAAGCGAAGCAAAGATATTCAATGTCCTCGCAACAGGAATCCGCTGGGAATCATTACCACGGGGCTGTATTGGAAAGTCTCATAATCGGAGCCGTGCAGAAAGCACTGTTGAAGACTTCTACTGGGACGCATCACAGGAGGAAACCTCTGGACAACACCGAATATTCGATTGGACAGCCTCGGGCTTGGAACACTGTGCGACATGTTACACAGGAGTCCCATCGCATGGCCCCACAACAGGGATCATCTGGAAATGATTGTCTAGCAACACGCATTTTGTTAGAAACAGTCATCATTGGAATCCTTTTTGAAAGCGCCCCGGAAGGATTCTGTTGTAAAAAAACCACTGGAACCCTTTGGCACGGAAGCAAACAAGTCTTATCGGACGGCCTCGATAAAGAGACCTTGTGAACATCGCAGCAATTCGACCGGGGCGCCTGACAACAGAAATTTCTTGGAAAACACAACGCAATATTGCACTGGAAAACCTCACCAGGGAAATCCGCTGGAAAGCAGCACGAAGGACTCCTGTTGGAAAACATCACAAGAGGAAGCCTCTGGAAAACGCTACAACGGGCCCCGTTTGAAAAGCACCAACAAGGGGACCCTTTGGAACTTGGAAAGCACCACTCAGGGGATCCGATTTGGAAACCGCACAAAAAGGAGCCCATCGGAAAGCACAAGCGAAAGATTCCCTGGGAAAGCCTCACACAAGAAAGCCGCCTTGGAAGCACAACTGAAGGCTCCGATTGGGAAGCCGCACCAAAACAAGAAATCCATCGGAAAGTACCACAGAGGGATTCAATCAGGAAGCCTCACAACATGAATCCTTTGGATAGCGCCGCAGAGGAATTCGATTGGAAAGCCATTACGACAGGATTCATGGGGAAAGAACCACACAAATATTCTACCGAAAAGCCTCGTAATGTGGATCCTTTTGGAAACGCCACAACGGGATTCTACGGGAAATCCTCACAGCGGAAATCCTTTGGAAAGCGCCGCCAAAAGTGTGCATTGGAAAACATCACAACAGGAATCCGCTGGTAAACACCACAAGGAGATTCTATTCAGAAGCAGCACGGAGAATCCTGTGGAAAGCACCACAAAGAGATTCGGTTGGAAAGCCTCACTATCGGAATCCACTGGGAAGCACCAAAAAGAGATCCAATTGGAAAGGCTCACAACAAGAATCATCTAGAAAACACCACAACGACATTGTATTGAAAACCGTCACAGTGGGAGTCCTTTGGAAAGCACAACATAGGGATTCCCTGGGAAAACACCACGAAAACCTTGTTTGAAAGCACCCGCGAGGGCTCCTATGCGAAAGCCGCGCAAAAGAAAAGAAATCGGAAAGCACCACCGAGGGATTCAATTGCGAAACCTCACAACAGGACCCCATTGGAAAGCCTCACGACAGGGCCTCCCTCCTGACCCTCCTTCTCTGGCAGGCTCGGTCCAAGCTGGATCGATACCGTTCTCCCCCATCAACGACGTCAGACGGCGGAACGACCGACTCCTTCTCCTCCTCCTCCTCCTCCTCCTCCTCCTCCTCCTCCTCCTCCTCCTCCTCCTCCTCCTCCTCCTCCTAAGGCCCAGGCCACCGGAGACCTTTCCTGGTGGCTGGTGTTGTTTCTGGCAATTTTGTATCTTCCCCGCCAGATTCAGGGGCCTCGCGTGCCAGCCGCCAGCCCTGGCGGCCCGCCGCAATTCCGTCCGACGGAGGGTGGCACAGACGAGAGCGGCATCAGAGGTCTCTCGACCGCACGTTGCTCCGCGTTGCCGCCGCTGCATCTCGTCTCAGGCAACATCATTCGTCGCAGTCTCGGATGCAAGACAGTTGGTTGTGTGAAATATGTGGTGGAGTCAATTCGTTTGCCTCCAGCTTTTGTTCGACGTGCATGCCCGATCAGTCTCCTCAGATGCCCAGCGGTCGTGGTCTGGCCCCTCCTCGCGTGCCTGGCCAACAGCGTGGTCGACAGTTTCAGCCTCAGCAGATGATGTCCAGCCAAGTTCCGAGTTCGTGGCCGTCTTCTCAGCAGTCGATGGCATACGGCATGGTCCGAGAACCTTGGGTGAGGAACGCCCAAGGTGCTGTCGCAGGAGGGTCACAATCGGCACAGTCACAGGCAAGACGGTCGTCAAGGGGGCCAAGGAGAGGACAGCAGAGGCAGGATCAAAGAGCGAGATCACCTTCCGTGACTTTCGCGGACGAGGAGGATGATGGGGTGACGAATGTTTCAGCGCCTCTCAACATATTACCCGCCCTTCCAGCCATGGCAGTGTATCTTCATCGGTTTCCACCTCTGCCTGGCGAGAATGCGACGGAGTCCGATCGGAAGACTTACATCAGCAGGAGAAGGGCCGAAATGAAAGTTCTTGCCGCCACAATCCGCATGAAG